TGATCTACTGAACTATCGAACTTTCATCTCGTTACATCATCGAGACGTTGCCTTTCACTAAAATTGACATTCGACTCGCGTTCTCCCGCGATTTGCAAGTTTAACGTAAATATGATTTAACGCGACTCGGGAGAGACTATGTATATCCATTTAATAACTGCAGCCTTGAATTTCAAGTATCGATTTTTGCGGTACTATCTCGTTTTTTTGCACACAACGAGAACAATCTGTAACCGCAGCCATTGCCCAACGCAAAAATTGACGTCATTTATCCGCGATCGAATTTTCCCAATGTAAAATAGAAGCGATTCAAAACGCTCGAAGCGTTTTCGTTCGTCTTTTGTCCCGCATTGATTACGCTTTAATTAAGCGTTCCGCATAATTAGCATAAATTTTATCGTTTTGCTTTGTTTATTTGTAATAAACAAACCTATCGTACAAGACTGAAATGCCGGCTGTTTGATGAGGAACGAGGAATCCTCGTGGGAAATTCCCTTGCAACGTGTGTCATACGCGAAAACCCACGGGAAAGGTTGTGAAAGATGATAATTATAACGATCATGAAAATGTAATACATTGCGTGTGTGGATTTAACGTTTGCGTACTATTTGCGAAAGTCATCACGCAAATGCTACAATACCACTTTTACGTAAAGTAGTTTAATTAGTTCTACGTAGCTATTTTGGTAATGACGTATCTTAGTCTGCTCTTACAACCAGTGCAAAATTATTGTCGCACAAATATTTCTGTCAATATTTTTGACTATGCGTATATTATTTTATTGAGATATCATGGATATAATATATGTTGTATAATATATGTTGCGATCGATTTTGCAATCTATATTTTTATTTTTAACAAATATTCCGTTAAAAAATTCTCATTAACATATTTGGTATATATAATAATCTATTAGTTTGCGTTAATAATTATTACAAAAATATTTAATACGGCAACGTTAATGGTTCTGGTAAATTTACAGCAGCATCGTAACATTTATTAATAACTTACATGATGATCGAATGTCAATAATTTATACTCCCACAACGTCTAATTTCCTCAAGAAATATAACGATTATCTCGATGCTTATCTTCATGGAATGTCCAGCATAAAAAACTTTTACATAAAACATTAGTCGTTTTTTTGTTCTACAGATTGAATAATGTGAAAAGCTAATATGTAAAAAAAGATAGATTTTTTACATATTAAAGTACTAAAAGATATATGTAATATATAAACTTTCCTACTATGTTATTATGCAATTATTTATTTCCTACCGTGTTATTATGTATTTTAAATAAAAAATGTAAATCAATGTAATATCAATATGTTGGATGACAGACTAAAAAATAAAAATTGTTAAATCTTCTTCAACAATCTTGTAAAAGAGCACGTTTGTTTGCATTCATTTCGTTAAATCATTTCATCAAACGTTAGATAAGATTACATCTTTAATTATTTAAAGAGCTATTGAATTCTATGAAGAACATAAAACAGTTATCATGTATTTTTTTAAAGATAAAGAATAAACGATAAAATAGAAATTGATATTAAAGAAATAGATGCTGATATTAAACGGATTATGTCTATAAGAGATAGATATGTTTTGAAAAATTAATAAAGTGTAATAAGACTTTATAATAATCAGATAAAGCATACAATTCAATAGTTAAGTAACATTAATATTAAGATTGAATTAATTTAAAAAAAAAATTATTTTAGTTTATTCACAAAATATCTTTCCGGCATCAATATGACAAGTGGTACTGTCGACTGAAACGATTTGAGAAAATTCTATAGCTCCCAGGAAGAACCTGTCATGGATTTTTATACATTTTCGATATCGTCGAAAAGTTTTCCCCTCAATTCCGGAGACAGGAAGTTAAATCGAAAAAACACGATGGGCGAGCAACATTTGTTCTCGAAGCAAAAATAAAAATTTCTGCGCGAAATAAAAACTTCTGTGAAACGAATTAAATGAACAAAATCTATTTGGTTGACTCGTTAAGAAATCACTCGCAAAGAAATCACTTGCTCTCAAATTGAAATACTTTTCAGAGACATGAAGCAATACAAAAGCACATGACGAGCTCCTTGAAAGCTTTATTCGAAACAGAAGTGCTGTCAATGCCAGAAAGAAATATGTATTTTAAATAAAGTAAAACGGCTTTTATCACAGACTTAAATTAAATTCTATTTCGTTATTTAATCGTCGGTATATGTAAAAGAAAAATAATATAAAGATGTAAGAGAATGTGAATAAAGCGATACAATAATGTTTAAAGATTTTAAATGATTTATGAAAATCTCGCAATCTTTATTTATCAAGAAAGCTGCTCGAAAAAAGGCTGCTCAGTTTCTTTACTTTATTCTGATTCTTACCTGGTAATACTCGAAGTACCTTAAAGTTGGGGCAAGGACCTCGTCTTAGTCTAGAAATTTTATTTTGGATCTCGTCGCAAAAATATATAACCTGGAACGAAATGCACTTGTGTCACTTGGGATTTCTACAACATATGCAGAGGGTATTCACTTTCCGACCAGATACGAAACGCGTCCACTTCCGTAACACAAAATCATATCGACGATACTGACGTGTTTGTTTACGTTTTATATTGTACTACTTACGTTGTCTCGTACTTATATGTTCTTAGGTTGAGAGCGATCTATATATTTATATATATTTGATCCTGTGTAGTTATTAATATAATAATAAAATAAATGAAAGAATAAAATAACTATATCTAGTAAAAAAAAATCATTTTAAATTTATTTAAAATATTATTATTAATATTAATTATTAATATTAATTTTATTAAATATAATTACGCAAACGCAGAATAGATAAGATATCACGATAGAACAAATTCAATTTGTGAACACGAAACGCGAATTTTTATTGTGATTTTCGAAATCATGAAGATAATTAAAATCCACGATATTTTATTAATTTTATTATTGTAAATTGAATTATTGTAAATTATTATTAATTTCTTCATTATATTCAGATAGATTGCAAAAAAATTTAGATCAGATATTTTAATTAATAACAATCATTTCATAACAAAAGAATATATAATTACTGTTTTGTAGAACTGCAAGTAGATTTGTTATAAAAAAAAACGAATAAAAATGGCGTAGAACACCGATCATGAATGATTTTAATTCTTCATTATGTTTCTATTTGCGATTTTTATGGTCTTCATTATTTTTATTCCGGTTTACTCAGCGTGATTTTTAAAAAAATATTTGTTCAAGTATTTGTAATTCGAGAAAGCAAGTTCTCGTTGTTTTGCGAATGTGTTTCTGTGTGAGAATCTTCAAGAACGCAAATCTCGCGAAAGTGTTTGCATTCTTATCCTTGATACAAGTTTACGTTCTTCTTTTCTTTTCCACGGAACGATCATTTTCCTCATTTCGGTGACATGACAAACTCGTTTTCGCAACTATGAATGCGATTGACATTAATCCGAGATTGTAACAAACGTAAAGCTTCGCAGATCGGCTTTATAAAAAAACTCAGATTGGGAAATGACAATTTAATGGAGAATATTATCAATGTATCAACAACGCGACGCAATACCTTTCTCTAATTACGTATGTTATAGGATAAAAGTGGATTTTCCTCATCCCCCCATTCTGAGTAATCAATATTTTTAAAGGACAGCCGACGTTCCGAATGGAGGAAATATCACGTTGAACATGTAAAACACTTGCGAGGTAAACGTTCTCCGTAAAAACGTGTCGGAATGCAAGATAACATTGATATGGCAATAGCAAATAGAATCGAATTTAAAGATTCAATTAATGGAGCTTAAACGCCAATAACTCATCGTTTATTTGATATGATTAGTTATGAACTTATTAAACGATAGAAGCTGTGAAGTAAAGTCAATCTTTAAAAGAAATAGCAAAAAAAAAAAACATTCAAATCGATAAGCTTCATCATTAATCTCTGGCTAGATCTAATCCGGGTCTTATAAAATTCAAAATTCTCTATCGAATTGATCAATATAAATTACGTGTCGTTTCAGTATGTTCTTTATCTTTTTCAAAATGTGCGATTAATTACAAAAAAATT